CCTGCTGGCAACACTCTGCCTAATGCACCCCAGGAGGCCGTTGGCCTTCTTGGCCACAAGGGCACACTGCTGGCTCATGGTTAATTTGTTGTCCACCAGCACTCCCAGGTCCTTCTCCGCAGAGCTACTTTCCAGCAAGCAGGTCAGCCTCCAACCTATACTGGTGCATGGGGTTATTCCTCCCCAGGTGCAGGACCTTGCACTTGCCTTTGTTGAACTTCAGGAGGTTCCTCTCTGCCCGTTTCTCCAGCCTGTCCAGGTCCCTCTGGATGGCAGCACAGCCTTCTGGTGTCTCAGCCACTCCTCCCAGTTTAGTATGTTCAGCAAAGGTGCTGAGGGTGCACTCTGTGCCTTCCTCCAGGTCACTGATGAATACATTGAACAAGACTGGACCCAGGACTGACCCCTGGGGGACACCACTAGCTACGGGCCTCCAACTAGATTGCGCCACTGACCACAACCCTCTGAGCTCTGCCATCCAGCCAGTTCTCAATCCACATCACTGTCTGCTCATCCAACCCACACTTCCTGAGCTTGCCTATGAGGATGTGATGGGAGACAGCGTCAAAAGCCTTGCTGAAGTCCAGGTAGACAACATCCACTGCTCTGCCCTCCTCTACCCAGCCAGTCATTCCGTTATAGAAGGCCATCAGATTGGTCAAGCGTGATTTCCCTTAAGTGAATCCATCCTGACTCTTCATGAGAGGAGGCTCACCACACCACGGAGAGTACACCATTGTACTCTCATCTAAGCACAAGCAGCTCTTTGCATCATGCTTTTGCAAACTATTCTGTCCAGAATTTCTAGGTCATGACATTCCCCTTCTGTCCATCCCAAACACTAGCAGTAAATACAATAAACTTGCCACGTACTGGTCTAATGGATAGCTGGTCAGTAATTGCAGAGAGTGGCATCTTAAAGAAGTTCAGCCTTTTCATTCTCTTTTCAAAATACATTCCTTCCTTGAGAGGTTTCTACCGTTTCTTAGCCCTACATGCGGACACATCTCAATCAGAAAGAAGGTACATCATATTCACAGGTGTAACACTACACTACTGATAGCCTAATATAACAAGCAATGATATTAAGAAGTTCAGTATTAATCAAAGCTACAGATATTTGCATATCTTCTTACATGATAAATAAAGGTGAACAGGTGAAAAAATATGTGAAATCAGAACACTTACCTGTAATTTCCAGTAATCTGTCTGCTAGGGTACTTTTGCCATGATCTACGTGAGCTATAATACTGAAGTTTCTAATACTTTCAATAGAATATGTCGACATATCTATTTTTTCCTGAAAAACAGAAATTCCTTTTCACAAACCATGGATACTGTCTCCACATGCAATATGATTAAATCTTTAAAAGAGCTTATTAAGTTTCCAGAATTGTACTGCTATTACCATTTTATAAAATCTCAGAGACATAACACTGAAATGAATATAAGAAGTTTATACAATCCAACATCTTTGCTGCGTATGGAACAGGATCGAGCATAAAAAACACACGCACATGAGATACCCGTCTTTTTCTTAAAAAATCTCCATTTAAGATTTTCCTAAATAGACCACAGTAGTTTTTCATTGCTCTTATGGCGTGAGGGTTTCCTTCCTCATTTCTAGCAGGTTAGGATTAACATGCTTACTCTTACTCTTCCAACCATCCCTTGTCAACAACTAAGCGCACTAGAGGATTTAAGGTCCTATCTATCCTCTTTTTCTTAAACAAATCCTAAATCTTCTTCTCATTACAGTCTCCTGTATGCTTTCAAATTTATATTTATCTTCATACTCAAATTTGTTTAATGTTAGTGCCACAGTTACTACAAAGAATCAAAGCATACGAAGTTTTGCATGGTTTTTAACATTGCAAATAATAACAAGGATGAGGTTGATAAGCAGTAGTCCTAGTCACGTGTGAGAACCACGTACATATTTGTAGTTTGCTACTATGCCGAGGGAAAAGGAAAAAAAAAGCTTAAATTGCCACCAGTGCTTAAAAGTCTAGCCTTTTCACTCTCGTCATACGCGTATTTACTAGGCTGAACAATCAGTAATTATGCTGGAAAGTGGTGCAAAAGGCATTGTGTTCTTATCAAAACAGGGAGTTAGAAAACTTAAAACAGTCAAGGTTTGTTAAACTGCACTAAACCTGAGGATTAAGAATCCACTTGGACTGAGGGGATCGCTAAGGGCACACGACGGGGACTCACCTTGTCCCGGCAGCTGTAGGGCCGCACGCACGTCACGGGCCCCGCGGGCAGCCGG